AAATAAGGAATAGTTGTATTAACCATACATGGAAACAAAGTTTATGGGGCCCCCAGGAACTTGGGGCCCTAGGCTACTGCCTGGTACTGCGGGCCCTCCAGGTGTTGTTCTGTAGAACATCTGCTTCGATGTCCCACTTCCTCCTTCCAGGAGCTTCTCTGATCAGAATCAGAGGCTGGATGAAATTGTGCTGTTCTTTCATCTCCAGATCTGGATAGTTTCTAAGCTTCAGATTCTTGTTTTTCAACCTCTAAGGTGGTTCTGTCTGAAACACCTGTGGATGAGCAGGTTCTGGGATAGTTGGACCAGAACCTTAATCACCTTAATCCTACTTCTTTCTAATCTGAGGCTCACTTTTAGCTCCTCCTCCTGTCGTTCCTGGACGTACCAATGCTGCGTTCTGATTGGCAGATTTCTGATCAGCTGCTGCTGAGGATCATCATGATGTTACTGAGCTGTGATTTAACCCTTTCTGGTCTCTGTGTCCACAGACAGAGGAGGGGGCGGAGCCTTATGCCTTCTATCCCTCCGGTGATCAAACCCTCAGCCTGAACACGTTCACCGTCACCCAGAGGAGCGAGGCGCACATCTGTCTGTCCAACGAGGACCTGCTGGTGGTCCGGGAATACACCCTTGCAGCAGTAAAGGTTGGCCTAGCTTGGATGTGTAGCAAACAGCTGCAGGAGCTCAGAAACAGGAATCATGGCGACTCCAAACACTTCAACAGGAAAAGAATAGAAAAACAGCTGAAATAACATGAGGAAGAAAACGAGCCGTCAGACGGGATTAAACCTCTGATCTCTAATTATTCCCTGGATTGCTGATTGCCTGTTGGTAGTACGGGGTTGAGTGAAGTCACCAGCCGCCATATTGGTACTCCCTATTTAGACAGGTCGCAATGTAAACTATCTGTGCGCTACAGCATTGAACAACTATGATGTTGTCATTTTCAGGGGGGCTTAAGACTTTTAAATTAAAACTAAATTTGTCACTTTGACACAAACTGGCTGTTTCACAGCATCGGTAGATTACTGTAATTATACACTAAAGAAAATAGATCCATCACATTGCATAGTCATTATGAAGTCAATGAAGTCTATAAATCATGTCATATAAAATATCATATAAATCCATCACAATAA